TGAGGAGGTACTGAGGTGGAAGGGTCCCTTGAGCCTAGTAGTTCAAGGCCAGGTGTAGTAGTATCCTCCATCTCTTAAAAAAAAGCAGGAACAGCCTTTAAATAATGCTTCTTGGCTAGGGATACAGCTCATTGGTAAGGCACTTGCCTAGCATGTGTGAGGGTTTGGGATCAATCCCTATCAAAAAATAAAATGTTGTTCCCACTATGTAGTATGAGTATGTCATCATTACTGGCCACTGGCTCATTTGGCTTTGTCCTGGAAACTTATTTTCTTGTAGCTGGAACAGCTTTGGGTCTTGGGGTTGTCAACATCTTGCACACCATGAACCCCTCACTCGTGATCCTGTCTGGAATCCTGGCCAGTCACTATATCCATATCGTCAAAGATGTCATCCGCCAGCAAGCCCTGTCCTCGGTGCAGGATGTGGATGTGGTGGTTTCAGATCTCGTGGACCCCGCCCTGCTTGGCGCTGCGAGCATGGTTCTGGACTACACAACGCGCAGGATTCACTAGGCCTCACGGGAGTGAACACGGACCAAGACTCAAGAGCGCCTTAGTGGAATCAACTTCTCTTTTAGATAAAATACCAAATTCGCTTTTTAAGAAATGTTTAACTGGAGGCAAGGTTGGCAGCGAGTGCTTTTGTGTGTGTCTTCCTCCACATTTACCTTTTCCCACCCCCCACTTTTGTAGGTGCTGCTTTTTGTTCTCCTCATAGGAATCACTTTAGTGTAAACCCTATAAATTCTAGTCACAACTTTCTATACCAGAAGGAGCCACAGTAGTAGACCCAGAAGCCTTCGGACTCTGCTTGCCAAGATACCACCGAGACCTGTAGGCCTGCTTTGGGCTGCGAGCTTCATGGGTGTACTTTGGTTAACAGTCCTTCCTGCTCTAAACCCAGCTCTCATCAGAGAAGGAAATCCCATCAGGGAACAGAAGAAACTCTTACCAGGAAAGGCTTTTTAAACTTTTAAAAAACAGCTTTATTGAATTATTTTTAAAGTATACAATTCAGGCCGGGGATACAGCTCAGTGGCACAAGTGCCTGCCTGGCAAGCTCAAGGTCCTGAGTTCAATTTCTGGTACCCAAAACAAAACAGCAAAATAAAGTATACAATTTACTAAGCTTTGACTTATGTATTTTCCTTGCTACCATCACAGCAATCAAGACATTGGACATTATCTGTCACCCCCAAATGTCTTTGTGGGAAGATGTTACCACTCTAGCAGCTCTTCTAAAAGACTTTAGTCCAGGGATATGAATTACAGTGGACTGAGTGACCTTGTCCTTATCTTCTTAGAGACAGCTAAGAAGCCACTAGGATTTAAGAACCTCTGAAAGATTACCCCAAAAGGGTCTTTGCTGCTGACCAGCAGACAGTTCTCCCTTCAGGAGCTTTTCATTCTCTGTGGACTGTGACCCCAGTGTGTCTGTGAAGGCAGTGTTCGCATGTGTTACACTCACAGCCCAGACTGTTTTAACTGATGGCAAAACACACATAAAAAAAGTTCTGTTAATTGCAACCTAGAAATACTAACTGCAACTGCTTATTACCATATTAAGTACCTACTGTGTACCAGGCTCTGAACTAGGTGCTTCATATACATTCTTAAATCTCATGACCCTTGAGACAGGTATTTGATTCTCATTTTATAGAACCCAAGACTTAAGTGTGTTTATTTACTTTTGTTTGTTTGCTTTCCGGTACCGGGAACCCAACTCAACCTCGCACTTGACAGGCAGGCCCTGTGCCGCGGAGCTAAATCCCCAGCCCCAAGTGTGTTTAAATGACAAGCGTACAGGTATGGGGTAAAAAGCCTAAGAGAGGGTTTGATGCAAGGTCCTTTTTTCTGCTAATCCACATAACATTTCATTTCAAAAACACATTCATAATGCTAATACACTCAATTTAGGCCAACAGAAGCTTTAATAAGAATATCTGATTTTCAAATGACTCAATTTATTGTTTACCCTATTTCTCAGTGGTGAGGTTAATCAGATATTCTCTTCCATGCTACTGAAATCTTGCCGGTACAGTATTTGGTCTTCTGACAAGTTTTTATGAATATCTGTAGATGACCTAAAACATGCATACATTTTTCAAAGAAATTTTTTTATTTAAAAAAAGCCTGAAGGTTTCCACAACACAGCATTTCAAGTGCCGACATATAATTAAATTAAAGCAATCAATATCGCATTTAAATAACTTCCTTCCCAGCAGGTTAACATCAAAAAGACATGACAGCTAATTCCTAGAACTCTGCCAGCTCTTAGTCTCCAGGGTTTTCTTTCAGCATTTCAGGGTGGCTCAGGCGCCAGTGTCTGGAGTGAAATGGTTCACCATGCAGGAACGTCAGTAGGACTGGGTTAAACCTGTTAACCACTACACATGAAACACATGCGCTGCTACCAAGTTTCATGCCAAACAGGTGAAGGGATGGATGGTACTAAATCAAAAACCAAATCTTAGGTGTTACTAAATTTGTAGAAAGACTTCTGACATAAATTATTACATGTTTAAAAAATCACATCCCCTAATTTATTTTAATGTAAACATTGTCACTGTTCTAAGCCAAAATGTAAAAAATATATATATTTGCTTGCTAAAACCGTAATACTGTTGCATATTGTTTTGTTCTTAAGCATTTCCCTTCCCAGAGATTTGCATTATTGCATTTTTTAAGGTTATAAAACTTAAGGCATCTAACGTCAGTGTTTAATAGCAAAAGCCTATTAATAGAAAGCAATTATGTAACATGTAAAATTTGATCTAAAAAAATGCTCCAAGAGAGGTTTGAAACTAAATGTTGAACACCCACTGAATTTATAGACCAACAGGTCCCTCCTTTTATGCAGCCCCCAGAGTGGTAAAATAGACACTGAAACAATCCCAAGTTTATGACTACTATGCAGCATTTGAAAGGGCTGCAAATGATTGTTTTCTCTTTCAGTTTGTTTGGGTCCAGAATTTGGGAAAAGAGCTACACTTGGCAGGTCTGGCTCAGAGGGTCTTGCACCTGTTAGTGGCTAGAGATAGAATAGCAGGCCGTTAGGCTATCCAGGAACTGGCCAGGTATTTCTCCCAGGGAGCAGTTAACACGTTCTCTCAGGTGTTGTGTATGGGCTAGTTTGGTTTCCTCACAGTATGGCAGCTTCATGCACTAGAGCAGTAGGGATGAACCTATGGCACTCACGCCACAGGGGGACTGAGTTGATGTCACTGAAAGCTCTAGAAGGTTCGCCATCAATGTGCTAGAGCTTTTTATGATGGCTCAGGGCTACCAGCTAGTATGTTCCAACAAATCAGCCATAAGCTGCATTTCCTTCTATGACATCACTGCAAGTCACATAGCATCACTTTTGTCACATAGAGTTGCCTTTTGCTCTAGACAATGTCAGGTTTTGTTTATACCTTTTAAAACCGCCACACTCCCCTCAAGAAGTCCATCTGGTATGGGACATGACAGCAGCCAAGCTTATAGTACCAAAGCGCTAACAATAACTAGGCGATCCTAGGCCGTGGGTCATGCGCTGTAAGGGGAGGGAATAAGGGAAGGCATTGTGGAGGTAGCCTTTTGAGTGGTTCTTCAGCTACATTTTGACACCTTGAATGGCACTATGTAGATTCTGTAGTAACAAATGGTTTGTGAATGCCACTGACTGCTTGAGTGCACTTAATGTGCCAGGGATTGTGAGGGCGATCTGGCTGAGACGTGTCACCCCACTGATTACCAGGGTTGTCTGATGTGGCTATCAAGGCGAGTGTCCCCTTTCCTCCCTCACTGCTCCAGGTGCATCTCTCACAAAGCTATGTGCTCAGTCGAAGAGGATGACCACGCCCGATAGAGGAGGACCCTTGCTCAGTAAAGTGTGTTCCCATCAGAACTTCTCAAGAAGCTCTCAAGAATGTCAGGTGTGGTGGCACACGCCTCTAATCCCAGCACCTGGGAGGCTGAGGCAGGAGGATCGCTGAGAGTTTGAGGCCAGCCTGGACTATACAGTGAGTGCAACATCAGCCTGACCCTGTCTCAAAAGCAACAAAAAAAGAATGAACACAGTGAAGGTAAGCCAGATCAAGGAAAGCCCAAGAAGTGTGGGTGGTAACATAAGCTTCATAATTAGTAGTGGATGGATGATGGACTAACCCTTTTCTGAGTGTGTTACCACTGGAGTTTGCCTCAAACTCTAGTTTAGAAATAGTATCAGGTAACTATACAAAAGGTTACTGAATGACAGCTTTACTATTTGCTTGCAACAGCAACTAAGAAGTGGTGTACTACATCGGGTTTCGAGGGTAGGTGATGTGTTGGAGCACCATCTCTTAGACGTACCTGTTCTGCACATCAGTGAAGACTAGTGGAGCTTTCTGGGAGGAAATGTTCCATAATCTGCACTGTCTGATTCAGATACCACCTATCCACATGTGGCTCACGAACACAAGAAATGTGACTGGTGCCAATAATGTATTTTTAATTAAATAGCTACTGTACTTATAGAGTACTATAATGGACAGCCCAGGTTTAGATGAAGGTATTTACAAGAGAACTATGAACCAAGAACTTGGGATGATACGGAACCTCAACATGTTGCAGGAATTGAGAAGTAGGGTTAGCCACATATTCATGCCATCTTGACAGGTTTACCAGCTGATCCAAAGGATGATTATCAGTCTTACTATAGGTTACAAACTCTAGAAAAGACTGCTGTGGAAATATACTGCCCAAGATCCTAAACTAAGGGCTGGTGACAAAGGATAAAATGTCTAACAGGTTGTTGGAGGGTTCAGGGATGTGTTTTAGAGGTAGGTGACAGGGAACTTTCAGCATGCAACTCCCCAATGAAAATGTCTACAGAATGCTACTACAGGCAGGAGACTTAGAACTATTTTAGTTTAAGGTAGGGGTCGGTGCCCAATGGCTGTGCTTCCTCAGCCCTGGAAATGATAGCCTCACTCCAAACTATAGCACATCTCGAGGTCAATAAAGCAGCTTCATTTATATTGTTTGAAACAAATTTATTCTCAGAATAATGCACAAGAGCACAGGTTGAGGCTACTGTTGGGAGCTTCCACCCTTCCTCTTTCTCCTCCCCCTCTCTCTGAATGCCAGGGAGAACACAGTTGAAGGAAACATGCAATCACAAACAATGATCAACTCTAAAGACAAAAGGTTTGGTCCAAAAGAACTCAACATAATTAATCCAATTACTGTGAACAGCTTCACTGAGTAGGATTAAGATACTGCAGATGTAGTGTTTCCAAGGCTGGCTCTTCAGTGCACCAGGGGGGCCTGCTTGAGGGAGATGAGGACTGAGCGCATGCGGGAGACATCTTTGGCCTGCTTGCTGGACTTAGGGTTAAAGTCACACAGCCGGGCCACCCGCTCCCACTCTGTGCCTGGGGACGACTCATCAATGTCATTTACAAAGGCTTCTTCTGCTGCCCTGAAAGCAACAACAAAATACGTTGGTTTAATGTAGACCTCTCTTTGAGTGACCTCCTGGCTGCCTTGCTACGGAAAAGTAACTGCCTCCTTATGCTTGACTCAGTGTCATTCTAGCCTTCCCAAGAGTAACTGTCCCTGGCCCAGGTCAGACTTAGGGGCAGACACGTGGCCAGTTCTCAGCACAGGGTGCCAGGCTGCTGTGTAAAATGGTGGAATACAGGTGTTTGGTTCAGGGCTCACTCTCTCTGTCTGGCTATCTCTGCTCCTAAGGAGCATTACAAAAGCAAGTCATGGGCCAGCTATGTACTGCTTTCACTAAAAACAAAGCACTCAGCCGGTCAAAGACTTGGCCAGTAGCTTGTGCTGGACTGTAATGAGTTTTAAGGAAATTTCAAGACTTCTAAAAAGCCCACAGGTCACTGCACAATAGCCTCTAGATTTATTCCTAAGGCTGGAGAGAAATAGGGCAGATCAAAAGGAATTCAAGACAAAGCTCCCATGCTAGCAGGCATTGAGACTAAAGCCATTCTGGAAGGGGGTTTGTTAGGACATTCTCAAGTTCAGCCAAGGTTTGCCATTTTTCTCTCCAATCAGGTGCCTGGGGCCACTCAGGGCACATTCTGGCAGGACAGCCAATGTGAGCTGCTTTTCAGCAGGATGCTGCCCCAACATTCTTCCACATCAAGTTCAGCCCACCCCCAGTTGGAAACTAACTGGTGGGAGCTACAGCCCAGAAGGACAGAGGTTAAGAGGCGGGAAGACACAATACATCATCTAGTCCAACAAGCATCACGGGCAAAGCAAAAGCAATGGAGATGACCGGTCTGTGGCACAGGGGGTGGGGGCACTATCACAGGGATGGCTGTGGCGAACACCGCTGAAGCCCAGAGCCACTACAACACTGCGACTTCATGGCACACACAGTTAGGGGCAGCGAGAAAGGTTTACTTAACTGTTCTAGGCTGTAGCAAGGATGGTTTATGTTTGTGCTTAAAGGTGAAGAGAAGAAAAGAAACAAGGAGAGAAACTTTAGGTCAGATACAGAAAATGAGAATGAGCTCAATGCAGATGGTCAGTAAGCTAGACATGCCCTTGCCACCCTATCTATGCTTGGGAACGTGCAGCTGGCTTTGCTGGGCCACCCTGCTGCCCAGCAAAACCAGACTTGACCTTTCCAGTCTCCAGTCTCTACTCCAGAGAGAATGTGTAAAGAGTCAAATCAAACAGCACCTGTAAGTCCAACATTTCACAGTCTCCTTGCAAATATACCTGGAGGCCCAAGTAATGCAGTTCTCTCTTATAATGGGGTAAACATCAAGGTCATAGGCCCTAACAAGTTCTACAAAAGGTAGTCTGCCACACACCACCCACAGGTTCCTGCCCCCTCCATTCCATCCTCATCTCCCTTTTATAAAAAGCTGGACATAATTTTTAAAGAGGAAACGACGAGGACTGTTCCTACAGCTTCAGCAGCATTGCTCTGACAACAGGAAACTTTTCCAAAGAGGATGCAGTTTGAGGGGAAAACTAATGCCACCCATTTCAGAGAAGTTTTGGTTATCTAGACCTTCTTATGCTAGGCTGGGGGATTGGGCATGTGAAGCTGGCCACTAAACAGTAATTTCTGACATGTAAAATCATGGAGAAACAATGACAGACACCCATCAGAGACACCCCTTCTGCCCTGGACTCCTCTGCCTGAACTTAAAGACAGGCAAGCAGCCCGACATTCGAAGGACGAGTCATAGAAATGTCAGAGCTCCCACAGCTGACTTCGGTAATGCAAGGTGGCGCTGCTCACTGGCTCCTAACCTCCTGGGACTTTTACCTGCTTCCAGGTGGAGAACCTTCTCCTTTCCACCTGGGGCAGGAAGGGAATAGGGCCATAGTAGCAATGGCAGCAACAGCAAGAGGTCAGAGTTCACCCAAGTCCTAACCCTTCTTAGACATGATCACGAAGGACCCACACATTTTATAAGAGTTAGCTTGATTCCCTCCAAAACCCCAAATATGAAAAATGGCCATCAGAAGGTACAGGAAGTGATAATTCCGTAAGACCAGCAGGAATCACACCCCAGTTTATCAACTCTCAGGCAGTCCCCACAGTGCCAATTTGAAATATTTTAAAATGCAAAGCATCTTGTGACATAAAAGGAGCATTAATTCTAAACAAGAAGTAGAAAGAATCAAAACAAGGAATTAGTTTTGCAACATACACATAACCAATCACGTCAGCGAAGGGTTGTTTGTAGAAAGCTTCATCTGCCACCCTAGACAGCAAGAGGTCCAAAAGGCAGGCAAGCAGGCAGGAAAAAAGAGAGAACATTGAGAAGCAGTAACATCTCAAATCCACAACAGCGGTGTGACTGGGCTCTGGGGAACTGCTCCCGGGCTCTGTCCTAATCCCTGGGAGGCTTCCAGCACCGTACACTCCGGCAGGCCGAAGCTCCCACTGGCCTCCTGCACAGGGCTCCTCCATGACAGCGAGCAGGCAGCTCAGCTCTAAGGCTTACCCACATTTTAGAAGGCACCCAATTGTGGGCTAAGCCCTTTCACATACACTATGTTGATTCACTCCTCAATCTATGCCACTGAACACTCTCAGCCCACTTTACCGATGTGGCAACTGAGGCCACACTGAGCTAAAGCAACTTGCTCAGTGGCAGCACTTGGAACCACAACCGAGGCAGCCTGGCTTAAGTGCAGGGTTCATTTTACTGTACATTAATCCTGTTTCCCCACTGCTGTGCACTCGGGAAGCCAAGCCATCTTTCTGCAGCCTCAGGGTAGATATCACTGGGCATAAATACTGCGAGTCACCAGATGCCCTTGGTTCTACACATTTAATCCCAGACCCTGGAACATCCAAGTGTCTTGCTTTACCACACTGGCTGGGTGGGGAAACTTTTCGGTCCTTGGAGAATACACATGGTCATTTCAAAAGCCCTACTTTAGAGAAAAAAGCAGCTGAGCTAGTGGTCTAGGGAAGGAGCGCTAGACTCAGTCCTGGCTTCTGCATGTCCCCGAGTAAGGCTGTGTGCTCAAGAACCTAGGGCACCTTCTGAAGACCTCTAGGCCAGACTAGACTAGCTCTGATGAAGGGCAACCTAGAATCCAGAGCTTCATCCCTCCTTCTCTCACACTCAGATGGGGTAAGTGGACCCACCCGGCAGGGTGCTGGCACACACTGTGAAGGAAGGGGCACACTGTGTGGAGAACTGTGCACTGCAGGGAACAGGCTGGCTTCAACTCTGTTGCCCCAGACTGAGCCCTGAGCCCAGCCATGCGCACCCACTGCCACTGCGCAGGGAGCCCTCCTGAAGGGCTCGGCCTGGCCTCTGCCCAGCTGGCTTAGGGTGGAGGCCAGTGGGACAGGGACTTTTTTAAAGAGATAATTATGCACACCCATTAACTTAAACATGCATATTTATTTGAAGACAAATTCTAGTAATTTTAGTTTCACTCAGAAAATCACACATACCCTTTTCTCTTCCATTCTGGTTTATACACAGGAGGTGTTTTGTAGAAATTTAGAGAAAGTAAAAAGAGCAGCCTGACTGTAAGTCAAAGTGACTCAGCAGGGAAACAGAGAGTGGTTTACGGGCCAAGTGAGTGGGAGGGAAAGGAAAGGCAGGCCAGCTTATCAACCTAAAATCCTTTTAGTTTCCACAAAGGGCTACACCTAATCGATTTCACTTTGAGCTTGCTCTTAGCTGGAAGAGAATAAAGGTTTAATGACTCCTGTCAAGGCATCACCACCACAACAAAGGCTTGCGTGTCAGGCTCTGCTCCTTTGCAACTAGCCCCAAGACTGAAGAGCCTGTCAGTGACAAGCACAGCTCCTGAAGAACAAACAGAAAATTACACACACTGAACGCAGGCAGCACCTCCTATCTGCTCTTCACCCAGCAGAAGGGGAACCTGAATGCAGCGACTGTCAGCCTGGCAGGATGGGGCTTAGGGAACCTTGAGAGGGGGAGAAAAGAATGCCTGACCAAGGACAAGCTCTGGAGACCTAAATACAATGCATAACTTTAAAAAAAGCCCCAAAGCTGGCGTGGTGGCGCATGCCTGTAATCCTAGCACTCAGGGAGGCTGAGGCAGAAGAATCGCTGGAAGTTCAAGACCAGCCTGGGCTACAAAGTGAGCTCAAGGCCAGCATAGAGAGACCCTGCCTCAAAAACACAATCAATCAATCAATAAATACAAAAAAAAAAAAAAATGTCCACCATTGTTGAGAGTCACAGATCCCCAAACTTTACAACACCTTCAAAAAGCTCAACAGTCTCAGCATTGGTCACCTATACCAAAGGAATATATTTCTCTTTTGGCTTGGACAAAAACCTGTTCTGGGGTTGTTCTCCATGACTGAACTGCAGGAACTGGTTACTACTCTTGACTCCTGAAAAAGGAAGTCTTTTTCACAGAATAATCCAGGACTATGCAATGATATTTGGGTCCTGACTTTGGTTAAAAGGAGAGATATGCAGCCTGAGAATTAACAACAGACTACATATGTGGAACAAAGAACCCACCTACCTGCTATGTGCCCTCAAACCACCATACTGGTCCAGATGTGCTACCAATGCCTTGGTGACTGACTAGGTGGAGCATCTGGGGGACAAACAATTAACTATAAGCCTCTCTATGTCTGAGGCTCCTTTTTTGAACTTCTCCGGTTTTTTGACTTATACCTGGGGTCCCCTTAACATCCAGCTATTGCAAAAATCACTGAGGTAGAATGACACTTGCTTCAAATGAGCACCCTATTTTCTTTTCTAAAAATATTTACTATTTACCTACATACATACAGACAGACAGACAGAACAGGGAAGATGGACCACCTTATAGACATTCATGGCACCTAGTTCTTTAGACTCTAAAGTTTAGTGTCAAACATGAATGGAGGAGGCGCAGTAGTTAGCAGTATCAAAAATCTTCATGGAGAGCATATACCATTGAAAGAAATTCTCCAAAATGATTCTTAAATGGTTAATGCCTCCATCTGCTGAAGAACCACTGGAATAAAGTGCGAAGATCATCCCTTCTGTCCCAGGACCTTGGTCATAACGGCTAGTATGTCACCAGCTTTAAGGGTACAGTTTCAGGTCTGTGCTGCAATTTCCATTAGGCAAATGACCTGGTTTCTAAATAGCTCTATGCTCTCAGTGTGTGGTGAACAAGTCTCTTCTCTCTGGAATTTGAGAGGTGCACCTGAGACCAGCCCTCTGATATTCTACAATTCCAAGTAGAACTGGGGGTACAGCTCAATGGTAGTGTGCTTACCCAGCATGTGCAGGAGCCTGGGTTTAATCTCCAGCACCACCAAAAAAGAAAACAGCAAGAGCAACAACAACAATAACAGTAACAAAACACACAATTCCAAGCAAAGAAACTATTACAACCCTAATTCCATGCCCAGGCAGTCATCATCGTAGGCTGAATGCTCACAACAGGTGTGTTTATTCTCCCAAAGACACCTGATCCTATACAGAGAGATAGCCTATTCTTAACAGGAGTGTAGCAAATATGGCTTGAAAAAAATCTCTGCAACAGGAAGCCTGTTTCCAACATATTCGTTAAGTACGAAAATCTATGTCAAAGTGCTGAAGCCTTGCGGCCCCTGTATGGGGAGGATCAGCCCATTCTGCAAAGCTCCTTGGAATAGCCTCAAGTGCTGAGGTAGCTTGCTTGGAACATCACTGCACCGCCTCCCATTTTCTTCACAGACCTGGACTTGCACCTGAGGAAATCATTCTGAGCAAGCACATGGTACAGGAGCCTACCTCCATGCTGACCACAAGTTCAACACAAGCCCTAGGCAGCCAGATGACAGCCATCACATCTGGTAACTAAACCCCATCACTGAACAGTCCCCACCATACTTTCCCTAAAACGTCAAATGGAACCCGGCAGGCACTCCTCAAGAATACAGCCCCTAGAGGAAGGTGACCAGGACAGAGGCATGAGCCTTACATCTAAGAGGCAGCTGACAGAATAAAAATGATCAAAGGGACACACAGAATGAGCAAAGGGCTGCTGTATGATAGAAAAAGGCCATCTGTTGTTACCGTTGCTGCACAATGACATGAGCTGGCTGGTGAGGCAGGTAGCCCACTTTCCCAGCAGCCTTCCATCCCACAGAGCTCCCACATATAAGGGGACATCACACAATCCACTTCTTGCCTGAGTACAGAAAAACACCCCCAGGCCTGTCTGGCTTGTCCGGCCTGTTCTGCCACAAGGTGAGCGGGGTGGGCCCTGAACCTAGCGGAAGAAAGTGAGCCAATCTGCCTTCCCCGAGGGAAGCCAGGCATGTGCCTCTCTAAGCTACTTCCAAGAAGGGAGGACTTCCAAGAGAAAGGGACTTCCAAGAAGTGAAGCATATTAAACACCACAGGTGCTACTTGAATAATGGTAAGAGAATGTGTTCTCTCTCCACAACTACTTAACCATCAGTAAGTGAATAAAAGACATTCTGAGGGCTGGGGATATATAGCTCAGTAGCCAAGTGCCTACCTGGCAAGTGCAAGATCCTGAGTTCGATTCCCAGTACCAAAAAAAAGGACATTCTAAAGAAAACGTTTTTAAGATGTCAATTTAAGATTTTTTTCTTTTTTTAAAAAAAGTAGTTGCTTTTAATGTTTCAAAATTTTCACACAGCAAGTCTTCGCTTGTTCTCTACTGGTAAACTGACTAGCTCTTAGTACTCCATGGTCGTTTAGAGCTAGATGTTTTCAATTTAAGATTTTCTTAGGCACAGTTAAGTATCCAGTAAAATTATGAAGTCACTGTGTTGGATTATCCTTGGCTACCTAATTACAAAGCACATTTCCATGCTAAATGGACTCCTTCACAAAACATCTTTTAGAGGGCAGGGCTGTATTTAAGGGAATCAACCTGACCAAGTCTATAATCACCTCCCAAGTAATGAGATCCTTGTCTATTCACGAAAATGACCATTTGAAGGTTCCATTTCCTCCACAAAGACTTATGAAATGTTTCCCTTTCCTCAATCACACCATTGTAGCTGATGCAAACCAAAGTCTTAAAAGAGTTAAACTCACTACAGTTTGGGAGGTCAAGGAGGCTGAAACTGTGCTCATACAACCCAGCAGACTTGCAACTGTTGTGTTTCAATTACTTTCTTGAACACCTGCAAAGACACGTCACACTAAACAAGGCAGCAGCCAAGAACCTGAAGTGAACGCTGAAAATGGATTTGATTCAGCCTCAGAAAAGAAGCAATGCCAGAACATGGACTCACCTGTTGTTTGCTTTTGTTTTTTGTAGCTGCTCGTCCTGCCTTGCATACCACTCTTCCAGCTCCTTTATTGCCTTTTCTTTCCACTCTGCTTCTTGCTTCCGAGAATTGGCATCTTTAAAAGACAGTACAGATGAAGCCAAGCACAAATTTAAGTCTTCCTCAGTTTATTTTCATTTTACTAAATTTATGGTGGGTGTAGGTATGGATGTCTGTGTGTGTTTGGGGAAGAACAGCAGGGACAGGAAGATAAAATTCTATTTTTCCGCTTTTTTAGAGATTAAACCAAGGCCCTCTGCAACTGAGCTACATCCACAGCCACTTTTTATTTTTCATTTTGAGACAGGGTGTCACCAAGTCACCCAGATGGACTCAAACCTGTGATCTCTTGCCTCAGCTTCCCAGAGTGCTGGAATTACAGCTATGTGCCACCACATGCGGTTTCATTTTCCCACTTTGTATAACTGATTCTTAAATCTCAGCAATCCTATTCCTGGTCTTTCAACACATCTTCTCCTAGTTCACTGACACCTTCATGAGTCATTAATTGGACTTTGTAAACCAAATGAATTCAACTCAGAAAGCAAGAGGAGGGGTAGAGTACGGAAATACCAACTCTTACTAAGGGGTCGGGGTCTTTTGGTGCACTAACTGGGGAAAAGGCAGTTAGAGATGACTTTTAATAATACTGTCAATATTAGTTTGGATTGGGGTATTCATATTAGATGATCTTTTACTCTTCATACAACTACAGTCTACACCCCAGGTTTGACAATTACTGGCTTTATCGAACACATGATGTCACTCTTACAAATATGGAAGTAGTGCTTCCATGAACCAGGGGGCTGTGAAGAAAATTACCAGAGAGAGAGATGATTCCAGAATCCAAGAGTGGCAGGGCACAGAACATTAAAGTTCGAGAGAACCAGTCCTAATCAGACTGCAGAGAGACTTCATGGCAAAGCCAGGACAGACTCACAAAAGAAAATTCCACTGGAAAGAACAACAGGGCTTCCAGTTATCAGTTCACCAAAGGTTCTAGAAATGACAATAAGAAAATGCATGCCAAGCAGGTTCGCTGGAATGCAGTCTTAAAGTTCCTTAGGCCTAAATAAGGCTTTCCCTATGACATATATTTAGCAGACACATGTCAGTATATTGAAAGATAAATCAATACAAATCACAATTGCTGGTGTAGTTAACAATGAAGTTACTGACACTTCAACCAGCTACCAGTGATCTAGACAAAGTTCTAAAAATACACAGCAAGAGCCCAACCTATAATTAATGTCTTTGAGAAGAACAAGAACATAGTGGCAGTGTCAAGTAACTACTTGAAGGGGAAAACAAAACAAAGCAAAAACCTAGGCATTCTTGAGTATTTTTAGAGCCTTTGCAAGAAGTGTCTTATAGTAGCAACCTGTAGAAAGCTGTGTCTACAACTATAAGAAATGGCCCAGTAAAAGCTGGAAATCCTCTCAAAGTTTTAGGTTATAAAGAACTTTGCAGAAATTATCCTACTCGGCTTAGAAGTAGATCCAGTAAACTTCTGATATGTGCCTAAGTATGGCACGAAGTGTAAATGTGCAACAGAGGGTGCTATGCTGCAGTGCTATGCTGCAGTGCTATGGGTTGGTGGTACTCTGTGAGCAAGGAGTTGAAACATACCAAAACAGAAAACTAAAATTATATGGAGATATAGGTCAGCGGCACAAGCGCCTGCCCGGCAAGTGCAAGGTCCCAAGTTCGATTCCTGGTCCAAAAAAAAAGAAAAGAAATTTATGGCCAGGGATATAGCTCAGTGGCACAAGTGCCTGCGTGGCAAGCACAAGGTCCTGAGTTCAATTCCCAGTACCAAGAAAAAAAAGAAACAAAGAAAAGCTTTAGGGGCCAGGGATATAGCTCAGCAGTAAAAGTGCCTGCATGGCAAGAGCAAGGTCCTGAGTTCGATTTCTGGTACAAAAAAAAAAACGAAACACACCAAACATTTTAAAATGTAAGATCTCCTTTGATAGTGGGGGAAATTAATTCCAAAAGAGTGCTCTTTTACTGGGGAGTATTTAGTTTCATTGTAGTCTCCTGACTATTAAAATTTTTACTATGTATTAGGACTAAACTTTCATGAAATTTTTCAAAAATAATTTTTGAAAAAGTAGACTAATTTAAGTACTACTAAAAGTAGACTAATTTAAGTACTACTTTTGAAAAAGTAGACTAATTTCTGGCATTGACAGGTTTAAGAAGTGCCACTAGCAGTAATAATTTAGAATTCTTCAACGCTTAGCTTGACAAGATAAAAATCCATGCCTGAAAACAATCTCTTTTGAGTCCAAAAAGGTGGAAAAGATGAAACGTCCCCCTAGAAAGCAAGTCACATTGACAGGTACCTTTCCTGACTACCCTCATTATTGTGTGCACAAAATTTTCAGAACACAATTAGCAACCAAGCTGAAAACCACTGACAATGATTCTCTTTTAGCATCTTGTGCTTTCTCATAGTACTTGCACAGAAAAAAGGTGGTTCACTGAAGAAACACCTTATTTGTGAACCAATTCAACTGGAATGTAAGGCCAAATGTCCAACTTTCCTCAAAAAGGTCTTAAATGAAGAGAACAACTCTCATCCAAGCAGGGTGGTACACACCTATAATTCCAGTATTTGCTTGACTAAGGTAGAAGAATCAAAAGTTGGAGGTCAGCCTGGGATAGACATTGAATTCAAGGCAGACCTGGATGACATAGGGAGACACTGGCTCAAGAAAAGAATGAAAGAACAAAAAAGTTTTCCACCACCAACGTATATTCTACGGAGAGGACAAACTTTGCTAATGTTAGGAAAAGAGAAAACATAAAGCTAGGTTCAGTAACACTAAAAATACCCCAGCAGTATGAATACCAGCCAAGTTCTATCTTTAAGCCTAACCACAAGATACACAAAGAAGAACAAGCAAGGACCACAGCCGCTAGCACCTCAAAGCCTATGTTCATCTTCCTAAAGCTGCATTATCTAACACTGCAGCTACTAGCCCTATGTGGCTACTTAAATTCATTAAAGTTGAAGAAACTTTAGAATTAAATTTGTCAGTCATACTAACCACATTTCAAGTATTTAAGAACCACATGTGGTCAGTGGCTACCATACTGGACAGCACAGACATTCAGTATTTCCATCATCAAAAACTATTACATAATACTGCTGTTCAGGTTCAAACTTAAGTATGTCTTTGTTCTGAAAGCTACATAAACTAGATACAAAAGACATCAACTGGCTATGTCATCTGGGTTAAGTCCTTTCCTATTTCTAGGTGTCAGCTACCCCACCTGAAAAGGAATCATGTCTTCACGAGGTCAGCGGTTATCAAGAGGGAATGATACTGCTCACATTACTGTTACATAGAATGCCACTAATTCTAGATTTACAGTGAAATATTTAGACATGATGCATGTACCTTTTTTTTTTCTGAGACAGGGTCTCACTATGTAGCCCAGGCTGGCCTCAAATTCACAGTGATCCTCTTGTCTTAATCTCCTGAGCAC